CCTGCGCGAGGTGCGGCGCCGGTGCATCAGAGCTCTCCTCCCCGAGCGGCGTGGGGAAGCCGGAGCACAAGTAGCCCGGAACGTTGGGTTGGCGACATGAACTTATGTACCTGTCAGTGATGCACGTCGCATCGAGGTAGTCGCCAACGGCTTGCCTCTGTGGCACGGCGCCCAACTCGCGATCGACGCCACGATCGTCAGCCCGGTCACCCGAACTGGCTCCGCGCGGCCTGGCGCGGATACCCGCCCCGCAGCCGCCGTGCAGGACGCAGCCAGACGCAAACGGCGCCAAACCTACCCAGAGCTCCAGGGCGCCAGACGGGCGCGGCTCGCCGCTCGTCGTACTCGGGATTGAGGTTGGCGGTTGGCGGGCGCTTCAGCACTGAAGCTGCCTCCTTCCTGCGCCTCTTGGCTCGACACCGTACCGTCAGCGTCGCGGCACCGCTGCGAGCGGCTGCGCGCGCTGGCTGGGTGCAGAGGTGGTCTGGGATGCTCGCTGTTGCTGCGATATGCTCGCGGATGTGCAGGGCAGCCTCCCCCTGACGATCAGCCGCTTCCCGGCGCCAACCTCACCCGCTGCCTCAAGCCCGCCGTGGGCTGTAGCTCCGGATGCACTGGGACCGCGTCGACGGCTTCAAAAAGGTGCGTGCAAAACAAAAGCTGTAAGGCCGTCTGAGGTAGTTCTAAGGCTATTCGTTTTGGCTCCGGATTTCCTTCCTAGGAACGCCTTATACCCGTAAGCTACCATGCAACTGGTGGCAGCTCCGATCTTGAGCTCCGATTGGTTTTCCATATTATGGTACCCCGGCTTTGAGGCCGAGGCATGCGTCCGCCAACTGGAGGGAAGTGTCTCCGTAGTGCAGCGGTGGCACGCAACGTCTTTCAAGCTGAGAAGGCTGGCAGGAGTGCCCGTCCTGGCGAGCAATCGCGGATGGCGCCCGCCCACCAGTGGCGGCTGACAGGGGGCCTCGGAGACTAGCCGCATGGCTGGCAGCACAGTGCGTCGCGCACTCGCAACCTACACTTAAGCGAGCGCACGTTGGAGACATGCCGCCCAGCGCCCGCGCGCTCTCTCAAGCTGGACCACACGCGGGTGCCTGGTTAACTCTTTTCCCGGCCGACCCAGACACCACGCTGTCCCCGCAAGCCATGCAGCTTGCGTTGCGCCGCCGTCTACGCCTCCCACTCCCCCTCCGTCTAAATCGGTGCGGCCCCTCTCCCGGATGCGGCGGGCTTGTCGACGTCTTCGGCGACCATGCCTTGGCCTGCCCTTGCACTGGGCTCTTGGCTCCGCGAGCCAAGATCGTCGAACGGGCATCAGTTGCCCGCGAGGCCGTTGGGGCAGCAGATGGCCAGGTGGTCCCACAACAGCGGCTCTGCGC